TGTGTGTGTGTGTGTGTGTGTGTGTGTGTGTGTGTGTGTGTGTGTGTACTCCGTGCATTTTTTACATGACAGCAAAAAAAAAAATATTAATATCATAATTTGTTTCCGAATATTATGAGTACACTGATGCACTCGTAAATTGTCTTGTTCTGTCCTTGACGACGTGAAGTTTGTTACCTCAGATGGTTTTTTTTTTCAGTTTTATAATACCTTCTAAACGTGCATACTCCCGTAAAACGATGTCAATACATTCCTAGCTATTTCTCTTTTTACAGACTACGCGCGCTCATATTGGTAGGAGAAACTACAGACGGTAGACAATTAGACAATCGTTTTCGAAATGGAAAGTTTTGGTCTGCTTTTAACATAGTATATTATTATTGAGCAGTTTATTGCCTACTGCATACCGCCAATGGCCTCGGCACGTGTCGGAGGACACCAAAAATTTGACGGATTATGCGTGCACGTACAGGTGGTGGGTGCCCCTTTAATTTCATTTTTCAAGTGTGAGTCAATTTTGTTGATTATATACTAATGGTTAAACACTATTGTATATACATGTGCTGAGAGTTTAAATATTTGTATGTCCTCCAGAGTATTCAAGGATGTGTCCTCGGTGGACATGCTGTAAATTTTCACGTACTATTTGAAGTTTAAAACAATGTTATGCTGACCAATTATTATTTTTATTTCTCTGAGTTATATGACCAATAAGCGAATTAGCACTTTCAATGTTATCTCAATAAATAATCAGGTCAAACGACGGTGTAATCGTTAGTACAAGTTAGTGCACAACGCTGAGCACACACGACTTAATTCCTATTTTCTTTTTATAAATTGTACTGACACTTAATCGTTTAGAAGAAAAATATGATTTGTTAGATCTGTAGATTTATTTTTGATTTTAAACCCTTGGTGTCCGCACTCCCTAAGAAATAATTATATTCTTATGATTACAACAATCTTTTTATTTTTGTAATGAATATGTCTTTATCACTTGATATTTTCTATTCGACCTTGCTGGGGGAGCGTGTGAAATCGATTTATTTTCGCCGCGTATCCAATCTGTGAATATTAGACCTTGACTTTGAAACTGTTGTGTTTTTTCATAATAATAATTTTATTAGCTGTTTGTATACATGGAACGTCAAAGCTTACAACACAATAAGTATAGTTATTATGGTAGACATATCGATCTAATATTAAAATAATAATATATTTTTATTGAACGTGTACGTTAACGTTATTCCTTACAGTAGTGTTATCAACTAGTAATAGACTATCACTAATAATGTTCAACCACTGGTGTGCTGAAATTCTCAAGTCTGAACGAACAAGAAACTTCGTTACACAACCAGTTTTTAGTATTCCTTTTCCCATTGTCGCCGAAACAATGTTCATTTTCACGAAATAATTGTTGGTCCATTTGTTATACCTCAATGGTGTGCACCTATGTATTATTACGTTTTTAGATGTCGCAAAATGCCTGGAACATTGATTCGTCGGACATTGAAATCTTATTTCACTCAGAAATTATTGTATAATTTGAAGCATTATTAAAATATTATAGTTATGGTTCCTTCCTCCCTCGTATGTTGATAACATTAATGTAAAAAATATGATTACTATTACTAAAAACACAATTTTCTTAAATGTTCTCTTTGTATTTGGAACCGATTTGATACCTACTATGAAACACTCTCAAGAAATAATATAATACTAAAAGGCGTGACAACTAATATAAAATTGCATCATGTATATTTTTTTAAATGCTGTAAATATTGAGATTGATAATCATTAAGTTACTTAACTATGTGTAAAATCATTTGATGGTGTAATTTCCTTTTAATACCTTTTTATAATTATATTTAAATTTTGTTTCATTATACCCCATAAATACATCGATATGCTAATTATATAAGTATCGTGATATCGTTGTTAACTATATCATGGTTAACGTTAAAAGTTCTTACCCGCCAATACAATTTTTATATTACCGTTAATCGATGTTGTTGGTAAAAAACAGTTTTTAAAACGTATATATTGTAAAAAACAAACGCAATGTGTACACATAATTTTTAAGTGTATTGCCAATACTAATTTTATAAGAAAATCATAATGCAATAAAACTGGCTTTAAAACTCTCAAAACAAAAATGATCTCAGATTTAAATGATGATATTAATATTAGTTGATTTGTCGGTAAATCCTAAACTCGAAGACTAGGACTTTGTTTTTGAGCCATGCATTTAATGTGTTGATTTTTCTGTGATCAAAGTGTTTGACTGTTAATCTACAAGAAAGTTTCTTAATTATTGATTTAAGATTAAATGATTTATAATTGTAATACATTGTAATAGTGAAGTAATATATGTTTCATCTATATTTTTCGGATATATATATATATAAAAAAAAAACATTTTTGAACTTTGATTTTATCTTACGAATTATCTATACCCCAAATCGAAGAAAACTTCTTCGTCTAGAATTTATTGATTGTATTAGATTAATAATGCAACCTAATCTCACGAAAAGGTTTAATGCAATTTTCCTTCTCTAAAACATCTTACTTATAGTTATAATGTATTAACGCCAAATTTTCCTTTTTCGGCAATGGCAAAGTAAAACCAAAATTGAAAGAAAAAAAAATTTGAATATTCTTTTAAATACTTTTGCCATGTTATTGAAAACATTGTTAATAGTTTGTTTTTTCTAATATTTTTACAGACTGAAGGGCACCAGTGGCAGTGCTCTGGGTAGTGCGAGCAGCACAATAGTAGGCACCAGCGGAAATCTAGGCGCGGCAGCAGCCGCTGCTGTGCTGAGCGGCGGTAGCAGTCGCGTAACATCGTCGGGCGTTGAGCTCAGAGAGCTCAGGCGCCACAATTACAAGGCTTCCGTATCAGTGCTTTCGCACCTGAACAAAGGCAACGCCGCGTCGCCGTACGTTAGCATCGGGGGAGGACACCGACAACGGACCAGAGCCCATCGGGCCATGAACATGGGCCAGAAAATATCTAGTAAGTATAACCGCGCGCACCGAACAACTCAACTGCACCAGGGATAGCCGTGCACGAACAATGCATACCCCGTAAGAACTACCAGCATCCCTAAACATGTTACTGAACTATATTTATGTTTGTATATGTATAACACTTCAGCCGTATTGTATGCTGTGCGGTAGATATGAGAACTTCCTCTCCTTCTGTTTTGTGCAAGTCATAGGGGGGGGGGGGTAGTGATTACGACTAACTCTCCCCCTTCCACCCGCCGCTGCGCCTGTCCATGCGCGCCACATAGTGGTGGCAATAACGGCGTAGGATCGATGCGTTTTTCGTTAAAAGCGTTTCCATTGTTCCGTCTCGTCTGTCCCTGGCTGATGTAATTACAAGCTACTATCAGCTTTTCGAAATATTTTTATTTTTTTCATCACATTAATTGCTGCATACATCTAATAAAAAAAAAAAAAAGGATAAATGGACGTTATTTTTGGTATGACTGCTAATTTTGCCCATTTGTCATGTTGTCACTCGTACTAATACATATATTCATTCAGTGAAATCGTTATACAATTGATCGAAAATTAGATGTAATACAGAATATTATATTTATATCTACTACGATCGTAATCGCATGCTTTGCATAGAAAATATCGGAATTCGTGGGAAAAATTCAAGTTTGGTTAAATTAACATAATTAAACGCGTCTATTGTTAAATAGTGAAATACAACGAAGTGATCTAAATCTAGTGCTCAACGAATACAAAGAATGGCGTGTTATATAACATGGATATTATTTTCGGATATCGTAGTCCTTTATTACCATAAATTATAATGTTGCAGATTATATTGTACTTACTGTTCGAGTTTTAAAAAAATTTGTGTACCAATTTCAATGTTTCCACGAAAAAATCGTTTATCAAATCCCAGGGATGTGGAGCGGTCTATGGCGCACAATCGTCCTTTCGCCCTTCTCCCACCCACCAATAAAATCCGGTCGGGACATGGTATAATGGTCGATGCCGTCACCGTTACATTTTTCAAATCTATTTGTCCTGTTGCCACTCATATGGTCTTTAATAGTGATGTGTGTGTGTGTGTGTGTGTGTGTGTGTGTGTGTGTGTGTGTGTGT